TTAGTTATATATGTACTGCTCAGCTGATGTGGCTCTCACTTAAGTGAGGGCACAATGGTAATCCTTGTATATCTTAGAAGAGTATAAATAAAAGAAGGGCCGACTGGAGGGTTTTAGATTTTTCTCTCTAGTTCAGCTGTGACTTTGCTCCTCCTTTTTCTTCTCTTTCTTCTTCTCCTCTCTCTCTCTTCCTTCTCTTTCTTCTGATCTGAACATATACGAACATCTAATCTGAGTTTTATCATTAATATACCCTATTTTCTCACTAGAAGTAATGTAAGGTTTAATTCCCCTAGACCATTCAAGGTAGTTTAGTCCATCAAAGGGAATTATAGCCTTGGGGAAATTCATATCCATCCCCCCACTCATTCCATTTTGACCTCCTGAAATCCCAGAAGTTGCAGAATTTTCGAAGGACATGATTCAAACATGTTTCAGTTTCAACACACCTTACGATCTATCCTGACACCCAAAAAGGTCTTAAAAACACACTAGAGATGCAGTCCACATGCACACACTCCAGTCTGGACACAATCTGAACACAGACCAGCTCCAATTCTCCAAAAAAAAAATATTCTTTTAGGTTGATTTCAGCACTGCACAGGTTTAACAGTTGAATCACAGTCATAGTCCACCAAATTTCCAGTCATCTAAACGCGCCAACTACTAGGAGAGATCATAAAACAGTTGAGTCACACCAAAACAGGGTAAAAACAGGCCATTCATGACTTACAAGTATCCCATTTTCAGGTACAGGATCGCACGATCCACAGAAAAAAAGCCTGAACCTCACAATTCCTCCGACAGCATTAAGCAGTTTTGTTTCATAGGGTTTTTTTCTTGGTACAAGACCAAGAGAAAAGAAAAAAAAAAGGTAAAACAACCTTGTACCAGTCATAGGTCAACTTCTCTGATATCAGTTGAAGAAGACAGCAAGATAAAGAAGAAAGAACTTGTTCGATCTGCTTTCAGACCCAGTAGAACCGCTCTGATACCATATTAGCAGAAGAAAAGAGGAGAAATAAGGAAGAGAAGAGAGAGAGAGAGAGAGAGAGAGAGAGAGAGAAGAGAGGAGAAGAGAAGGCTTTGGAGGGTTCTAAATCTGTCTGGCGGCACCAGCTTATATTATTATAAAGGGCAACCATAATTAAAAGGGAAAAGACCCTTATGCCCCCGCTGTAGTGAAAGTACATAAACAATGACAAAAAAGCTATTTTAACCAGACCAAACAGACCCTAATTAAGAAGAATAAAAACATAAAATGTAAAGTAAACATTCCAACAAATACATATAAAATAATTTTTATGCATTTACAATTATGCTGTTAATAATTCACTGCATTCTTATGTACTGGAGCTGAAATCACCTGTAGAGAGAGAATGACATTTACAGCATCATATAACCGCTTTGCATTTAATGGTTCACCAACAATTTCAGGTGGAGTTTTTGATAATAAGAGAGCAGCCTGGAAGAGTAGAGAAAATAGATAAGGAAAAGGGTCAGTAAATACAATATTCTTTTTTTATCATTTTGTTAAATAGTATACCTTCAATCCTTCTGCTGTGCAGTCAGAGATGGGCCATCCATGATCAGCAGTTGAAAAAGGCCATGCACCTTTAGAAATATGACGATACCAGTAACTTAGATCATCAGGGCAGTCTTCTAGAACCTTTAAAGAGAAGGAAAATACTGATAAGACAAGGGGGAAGAAAAGGAAACATGAGGAGGGTTATGACTGAGATATTAGGAAGTGCTGTCTGGAGAAGAAATACACATAAAACCTGTGAATTTTTAATGTATTCATGTGCTTTTTTAAGGGTTGGACCATATTCTTCTATAAGGCTAGATGAGAGAATAGCTTGAACAGCAAAAGCAGTGTCCCATAATTGACTTCCATTGTAACCCTGTTTTATAATAGACATAGCAGTCAGAAACTAGAATCTTGATATTCTCTAAAAAAGCAACAGTACATGGTTATAGATTCCAAAGGCTTTGAATTTCAGCCATCCTAGAAGGAATGGGCACTCCTAAATAAGTCATGCCTACACCTGCATTTTCATTCCGTCCTCAGCAAGCCATAAATAATCATAGATTCTCGGGAGGTGCAACTTGAATGCCTCTGAGTTTGGATCTTCCACCCAGCAGCAAAGCATATTTAGCACCTGCATATTGCAGGATATGGGGAAAAAGCTTAATGTAATAGAAAAAACAAGGACTGTTCATATCAATTTATCAAATAGATGGGAGAAGAAAATATATTCAAGAATTATTGTTTTGCATGCTTAGAAAGAGAAGTGGAGGATCTTCAGAACATATGACATAATGGTTAACGAAACAAATTTATCTAATGCTACTTCTTGAACAAATCAGTTGTAGGCCAGCTATGCTGTATGGAGAGTGTTGAGTAGTCAAGAAACAACATGTCCAAAATGAATGTGGTAGAAATGTAAATGGTAATATGGATTTAAGGAAAATTAGGAAGAACAGGATCAGAAATGAATTCATTCACAAGAACCTAAGAATAGCTCCAAATGAGGGAAAGTAGACTAAGATGGTTTGGTCACATAAAGAGAAGACCATCTACGGAAACACTAAGAAGAAATGATCTGTAACAAGTTAAAGAGGCTAGAAGAGCTAGGGTGCCAGGGGCAGGCCGAAAAGGATATGGGTTGAAGTAGCAAAAAAATGATTTTAAGAGCTGAAAATTTTTACAGTGGATATAACACTGAACAGAATTGAATGACAAAAGAGGATTCATGTAGCCAACCCCATATGGTTGGGAGTTGGGACAAGGCTTAGATGATGATAATGAGTGATGACAACTTCTTAGCCAAATCAATCGCATTGTTCAGATAGTAAATGAACAATATATGAACACTCTCATTTAATAGACATAAGTAAACAACAAACAAGCTATGATACCCAAATACCAGTACATAGGTGTCATGTTGTGTTGAATACTTCAATTTTTAGTCTGAATTTCAATCTTACACCTTGTTGTGCCCCAACTGTATCTGTGTAACAATGCAAAGAAATACAGCATAAGTAGCTTTCCATGCATACCTTATTTACAGGTCCTATACATACATATCGTGTATTATCATCTTCGTAGTGTATATGTTGAATTGTAGTCAGAAGAGCCTTCTCTCTCAACCTTTTTCCTGGCCAACACTTGAGAATGGGCTCAACAACCTTGTGAAGAGATGCCCATAGAATGTCTTGTACTAGTGGATGTGGGTAGTACAGATCCTCCTGCAACATCAATGTAATGAACCCTTATGTATAAACAAAAAGAAATCAAGAACCATGAAACAAATGTAAAATTAATTCTTATGAGGAAACATATGATATCAAGAACTATAAAAGAGTGTGTAAGGTCTAGGGACAGAGGACCTGTTGACAGGGGGCCCCAAAATTTTCCACCAGTCCAATGTTACAGTAATCAGGAAAAACCATTAAGTGAAAAGATTTGGTATGCTCAAATCAACATAATGTGATCTACAACCATCTGATTTCAGCTAGGGATGCAAACAGATCAGATCGGATCAGATTCGAATCATGGTATATCTGAATCCGATCAGATACTATGAAGAGCAGATCCGATCTGGTCCAATCCGATCTCACAAACAGGGATTTGAATTCGAATCCGATGAGGAAGTCAGATATTCGGATCTGATCAGATCCGATTAAATTTTTTAAAAATTAAAAAATTATTAAAAGAAAAAATATAACAATTTAAATAAAGAAAAACAAAAAAATACAAGTACCTTTTCAACTATTTTCATCATATATGTTTTTTATAAAAAAAATAAATAATATAACAAATTTACAAAAATGCAATATAAATAATATATTTATAAATAAATAAATAACACATATATCGGATCGGATAGGGGTGATCCAAATTCAATCCGTTTTCTGATCAGATCCTATTATCCGATCCGATCCAAAGATCCAAAATGGGGATATCTGAATCCAACAAAATGGGTTCAGACTTCAGGTCGGATCGGATCACAATCCAATCCATTTGCACCCCTAATTACAGCATCATTTGTTTAGATTCCTTTTAAGTTTGAGAGTAAATTTTTTTTTTGATAATTGAAATAATTTTATTAATCAGCAATAGACAATAGTACAAAGTCCCCAAGGAAAGGCACGAGTTGCAACCTCTCCGGGCTAGTTAAGTACAGATTTCCAAATTAATAACAACTTATGTTGG